CTTCTTCTGCTCCTCTTCCTCCCTCAGTGCAGTGATTGTAGCTTCTTCTTCATCTCTGAGAAACTGATGAAACTGCTGTAACTGCTGTTTAATTTGGTGCTCTGTGTGATCAGCTTGAGACTGAAATCAAACCACATTCACTTCAATCATCTCAATCACCACACATCAGTTAACACTTCACATCAGTAATATCTGAGATAAACTTAGATACCGAGATGCAGAAGCATTGTAACTTCTGCTTGTAATTTTCAAAAATAATAATAAAATATAATACACTGGAACTCATGTTAAATATAAAGAACGTAAAGAAAATAGTCTTGATTCTGTTTCCTCACCTTGATGTGTTGAACTGTTTCCTCAAACACTCCTTTTATGTTTCCACTTTGTTGAAGTTTGTCCTGTAAGGTCTTGACTGCTGTATTGAGCGCTTCCTAGAATTGAAAAAAAATAAAAAATAATAATAATAATAATAATGCACTAGATTACAGTGAAGAGAAGAAGAGGATAAATTGATATCATAAAGTGCTGTAAAAAAGTATTTGGCCCATCCTTGTTTCTTTTGTTTTTGTGTCACATACTAAATTGATTTAGAAATGAACCCTAAAGGCAACCCGAGTAAACACAAAGTTTGTAATAAACATTCTTAGAAGCCACATATAATTCACAAAATAACAAAAAAACATCCCAGAACGAAGTGTATTTTTTTCTGCTCTTTACCAGAAAATCCTAAAGAAGAATGTCTGATCTTAAGTCCATAAGCTGAAGTTTAAACACAACTGTATTATTATGCAGCAATACACTGATTCAAAGCCCATTAGTAAATCCACCTCTGAGTACAATTTTACATAAGCACAATTACAGTTTTGGAGTTTCCTAGTCAAACTCCTGACTTTAACCAAATTAAAATGCTGTGGCAGGACCTCAAACGTGCAGTTCATGCTCAAAAACAAGTTTGCTACTAAAGGAGATAATTAGGTTTTCACATGCGTGAGAGATGTTGGATCATTAGGCTACTTTTATGTTGTATTTAGTTTGAAGATTTAAACTATTTAAAATGAGATGTACAAAAAAAAAAGAAAAAAATAATGAAGTAGAGCAAAAATGGCATAGTATATACTGTGTGCATAAATGATGAATAATGATATCTGTGTTTATGACTACACACTGTTCTTTACATATGAAACACAATTTAACTTACCCTACATGTTGAAACGGCTTCACTGATGGGTCTGAATGTGTGATTGTCATGTTGTTGTGAATCTCTGCACACTAAACACACAGGCTGTTTGTCCTCCAGACAGAAGAGTTTGAGTTTCTCACTGTGTAAACTGCAGATCTCCTCAGACCCTGATGAACGCCTCTCTGTTCTCTGCCTCCGCAACGACTCACAAAGGTTTTTTAGCACTAGATTACATGGAGGATCATCTCTCGAGGATCTTCTCCTGCAGACAGGACACTCCTGAGTTTCCTTGGTTCTCCAGAACTGTTGAAGACACTCTTTACAGACACTGTGACTACATGATAAAACAACAGGATCCTTGAAGATTTCACAGCACACGGGACAAGAAAGTTCTTCTGCAGATACATTTAGTGAATCCATTCTTACTGTCTGAGCAATATAAATTCAACTTTCTGAACGATGATTTTAGAAATGACTAACCACGACAAGCATGATCGCTGATTCTTTTTGGTTTTTGTAGAGAGAAAAAAAGTATTTCTTCTGGTTTCATGGCGGGTTGCGAACCGAAATAAGAGTTGCATTTGTTCACTTGCTGCTGACTGTGTGGATGTGCGTACGAATGTAAGTAAGATATTAATTTCACAGTGTAGACAGCTTCAAAGGAGCAGAGTTTATTGAATAATCTTTGTGTATGTAATGCTTCGTCTGACGACAAATCCAACAAGTGCAATACAACAACATAAACCTGTAACGTTAATTTCCATAAACATTGTCTGTTGATCTCCTCCAGCTTCTCCTTCATCATCTGCTTCTTCTGCTCCTCTTCCTCCCTCAGTGCAGTGATTATAGCTTCATCTCTGAGAAACTGATAAAGCTTCTCAAACTGTTGTTTAATCTTACACTCTGTGCTCAGTTTGAGACTGAAATGAAATCACATTCACTTCAATCATCTCAAAGATGCAACTTATTCTGGAGCAGCATGAAGTGAGTGTGGGTTAGTTAACTTTAACTTTCTGAAGTACTAGTACTGTAGTAGTAGATGTTCTGTCTCTGTGGGTGCAAGTATACATAAATCTCATCAGGTTCCCTTCTACATGACAGTTACATTTTAATGTGCTTTATAAGATACATTAATATGTAACATAATTTAAAATCATAACAGCACATTAATCAAATGTATTGAGTTTAAGAATGCTAGAACTAAAATGTTTCCATGATGTATGCAAAAATGTATGTTTTTTTCAGAATAGAATTATAGTAAATTTGAAATGCATTTTCTTTTATTTAATTTGATAGAAAATGATGGTATAAATGTAAAATTATGTACATTATAAATAAACATGTCCATTAAAAAATTCAATCTCTGTGTTTCAGACAATAAAGAAACATGAAATTAATGATCACCTGGATGTGTTGAACTGCTTTCTCAAATTCTTTTCGTATTTTCTTTGTATTTAAGTTTCTCCTGTAAGGTGCTCTATTGAGCTCCTCCTAGAATTTAAAGAGAAAATCTGTATGACCACAAAGATTTCTGGTGTATGTTCATGTATGTCATAATAGTTTTCATCCTCAGATGTAAAAATCTTACCTTCTATGCTGAAACAACTTCACGGGTCTGAATGTGGGATTGATGTGTTTCAGTGAATCTCTGCACGTTTAAGAAAAAGAGAAAGAAAACAGTCTTTTTGACCTCCAAACAGAGGAGTTTGAGTTTCTCACTGTGTAAACTGCTGATCTCCTCAGATCCTGATGATCTCTGCTTCAAAAATGGCTTGCAGAAGTTCTTTGACGTCTACTGGCGGTTTGATAGAAAATGATGGTATAAATGTAAAATTATGTACACTATAAATAAACATGTCCATTAAAAAATTCAATCTCTGTGTTTCAGACAATAAAGAAACATGAAATTAATGATCACCTGGATGTGTTGAACTGCTTTCTCAAATTCTTTTCGTATTTTCTTTGTATTTAAGTTTCTCCTGTAAGGTCTCCGGTGCTCTATTGAGCTCCTCCTAGAATTTAAAGAGAAAATCTGTATGACCACAAAGATTTCTGGTGTATGTTCATGTATGTCATAATAGTTTTCATCCTCAGATGTAAAAATCTTACCTTCTATGCTGAAACAACTTCACGGGTCTGAATGTGGGATTGATGTGTTTCAGTGAATCTCTGCACGTTTAAGAAAAAGAAAGAAAGAAAACAGTCTTTTTGACCTCCAAACAGAAGAGTTTGAGTTTCTCACTGTGTAAACTGCTGATCTCCTCAGATCCTGATGATCTCTGCTTCAAAAATGGCTTGCAGAAGTTCTTTGACGTCTACTGGCGGAAGGAGCTTTTGAGTATTTCTCCTGCACAGGACACTCCGGGGTTTCCTTGGTTCTCCAGAACTGCCCAATATACTGTAAACAGAAACTGTGACTACATACTAAAACAACAGGATCCTTGAAGACGTCAAGACAGATAGGACAAGAAAAGTCTTCTTCAGATGGTGAAGCCATTTTCACTGTTTGAGCTCTAGCGATCTTTACATTCACTTTCTAAACGATGGTTTCAAACATGAACAACCGTGAGAATCACAAAGACCTGCTGTCTGTTCAGAAACAAACTTCTTGAAAGTCATAAGCGAATCGGTGTTCTTCTTTAATTGCTGATTGTTTTTGGTTTTGTCGAGTGTTGTGGAGCAATGGTCCTCTCAGTATTGTGAATGAATCTCAAAAAGCAAAGTTCCAGAAATCAAAATAAGACTTCATTGAACACAACAATAAAGCCGAGATAACAGCTGCTGCATCTGAATCTGTTCTGTCCAGCCATCAGCTTTTATACCTTATTCTTATCAGCTCTTTAACAATGGTATCACAGTTCTGTTGATTTCTTTCCTCTGGTTTTCTACAATTCATTTTTACTCCCCGGGCATATTTTTTAACTGTGGAATCCTGCTAGTTTTTACCATTTTTATAATAACCTTTATCTCATCCCTCCCACTGGATGCAGGTGTCCTTCTTGGAAGTCACCCAAAGTTGACTGGTTCACCCAAATTCATCTGCGCCTTGTTCTTGGAAAGCACCTAGGACTCACAATCTGTGTTGAGTCAACCAATATAGAAACAATCATCATATTGATCAGTTTATTTATTGTTATAGCCATAAATCATAATTTTGAATAAAACACCACAAGAAGAGTTGTCGTTTTATCCTCTTTGACTTTTCGGGCAGTTGTCATACAACTTTAAGGTGCATTACTGCCACCTGCTGGTTAGGAGTGTGGGTCAAGACTCTACTAGCTTTAGCATACTTCCTATTGAACTCCTAGATTCTTCGAACCCGGTTTATTATATATATATATACACACTCTAAAAAAAAATCTAAATATTCATCACATCAATTTATTTGTTAAACGCTTAACTCAAGCTTTTAGTTATTTATTATTTTTTTGATGAGTGGAGTTTCTGATCACGTGAGTGTTAAAACAGGTCAAAGAATAATCTATCTGTTCAGGATAAATTCTAAAATGCATTCAAAATGAACTTGCATTAAAACTCTTCAATAAGATGCATTAAAATCTCAGATCAAACACAAAACAATGACAGACAAAAAATATTGATAAACTGACTCGAGACACTTTCTTTGTAAACGTTTTATTGCCCTTTATTTGTTGGTGTGTTTGAAGGTCACAGAGATTCTCCAGGGTCTGTCGTTCTCACATCTTTGTCAGAATGATTTCTTCACATGCTGAAGTCAGTGATAAACATCTGATTGTTTGGAGACGCAAGTAGCACTTACAGAGACGCCAAACCAGTTTCTGCATCATCCTGCAAGTCAACAGAAATAAATGCATGAAATGGCCTGCAGTGAGCACATGCCAACATTACTCATCTGAAATCTAGAAGCAGCTCGTTTGAAAAACTCTAGAATGAATCTGTAGCAGGATCTGAAGCGTCTCAGCTCTCATGAGGGCAGAGAGAAGAGAACAGAGACCTTGCTGTAACTTACTGTAGCACACATCCTACACCCTACAATGCACGACAAGCAACGCAGGGCTCTAGTTGTGTGCACATTCAAACCCAATCAGGGTTTCAAACGGCTAAACTGATGCTAATCACACCAGTATGCAGATATTATGTCTATTAACATTCAAAGGGGGATTTTCAAAGTACAAAATTTCTTTACAAAGTACAGGCTTTTATTACAAATTCATTGTATTATTAGTCATTTTCTTACACATTAAATTGCATGCGTTTAACCGACTCTGCCATGTCCTCGTGGTAAACACGTGGTAACTGCGCTCTTGTCGCATCAAACCAAACATTTCTCTAACTATGCACCGTTTCAAGATCTTACAATATATTTCCATGATAAACAACATTACGAAAACAATCAGAATACCTTAAATTAATTTTATTCGAGAAGCTCCAATGCTGCACATGTTTTCCGCCGCGTCTCTCTCTGTGTGACGAATGTCGGTCGGAGCGGAAACACGTACGTATAAACGCCTGGCTCATTAATATTCATTACGCAACGTGACGTTCACCCAGTAGGACTTAGCTGGCGAATTCAATCAATCTATCTATCTATCTATCTATCTATCTATTAATGTCGGTCGGAGCGGAAACACGTACGTATAAACGCCTGGCTCATTAATATTCATTACGCAACGTGACGTTCACCCAGTAGGACTTAGCTGGCGAATTCAATCAATCTATCTATCTATCTATCTATCTATCTATCTATCTATCTATGCTGGAGCGTGATCATAGCTCCGGTGCTGCTGTCATTAAAGCAAAAGAGGCAAGCTAAATAATTACACATCCTTAAAATCATGTACATCTGTGCTTAAAAATGTTGAATATTTTAAATTAGGTTCTAGAATGCATTTAGAATTTGTATTATTTTAGAAAAAATACAAACCAGAAAATACATCCCTGTAAAAAAGTTATGTTACGAACATTCCATTAACAATATTAGAATGTTTGTTTAAAGTTATATGGTCTTTCATAAAGTTCTCAAAACTTCAGCACAAAAGCATGGACACACATCACTCATGGAACATTTCCCCTTTGTTCCCATAATGTTTGAAAAATGCAAAATTGAATGTTCCCTTAATGTTTGCATATGGGAAAACATTTGAAAACATTTGTAAACTGGACATCTTGGAACGTTTACATGACAAATCTTTAGCAAATCTTCAAATATTTCAAAACTTTTTACTTTATTACTATTTTTTAAATCTGGGATAGACTTCCATAGACTCTTAACATATTATAATTTTACATTAGTTTTTTCCTCGGTCTTGACTATATGGTTACATTCGTCTGTGTATTTGTTTACAATAAAAGCACCAAACAATCAAACATTGAAAAATAAAGAAAGTGAGGAATCTGTGCTGAAAATCAACCAATAAAACCGGCATTTTTCGTCATTTGAACACAAGCTCCTTATGAATGTTTTCAAAATAAAATGTAACGATTTTATATTGCCTTTCTATTGTAATAAAGCTGCATGATAAGTTGTATGTGCAATTTCCATATGCATACAGCATCATACATGCTGTGTGCTTGCAAACACTTCAGGTATGTTTTGAAAGGGCCGCTAGGGGACTTTTATTTTGACAGCGCGCTTGTAGTCAGAGCGTCTGATGTTTGTGTTGTTTTCTGCTCGTCCTCAGACTGCAGCGATGCGCTTCATCCGAGTCTGTTTTTATTTCCTAAACTCATCGATCACAATATTATCGTGATTTATCCATCAATATCTGCTTTTGCTCATCGATGGTCGTAAAATGGCGAGCTCTTTCTCCAGACCTTCAGCTCAAGGAGGCACAGGTTTGATATTATGTTGTTATTATTATTATTATTCTGCGTTATTTTGTTTATATCTCACTGAAATGACTGAAACTTTGACGACAGATTTGTGTCTTTGTAGATATCAATGTGTGTGAGGTTACATTATCAGGTCTATCGTCAGGATTGAGCAGCAGGCTGTCAAACCATTGAACAAACCTATTCAGTGTCACATGGTTATAATAAAAATGCTTAATAATAAGATATTTAATAATGCTAGACAATAAATATCCATGTAAATCCCTTAATTAAAAATATATATTTAGTAATCTACATTTAGCACTTATCCTATAAATATTTTTTAATTATATCTCCATGGTAACAATAGTTTCGTCAAAATACCATAGTATAACTACATAATAGTAGCTATGTTAACGGGGTAAAAATAAAGGTCACCATTGTAATTTTTAAAGTTGTAACTTTATCAATTTGATGGGATTCAAACCTCCATTTTTATGCTACCGGCCCAGATATTTAACCACTAATTCATCCCCCTCATTCATCCGTGTGTCTCTTCAGAGACGGAGCGTCTGCTGGCCCCTGTGATGGGATACGGCTCCGGCGATCTGAACAGTGGGTGTCACGGCAGCCCTCCCGCCCTGGACGTGAGCATGCCGGGCTCACGGCCGCGGGCCGAGGAAGCGGAGGAGGCCCTGAGGAGGAAGCTGAAGTACTTCTTCATGAGCCCGTGTGATAAATACCACGCCAAAGGCCGCAAACCCTTCAAACTGGCCCTTCAGCTGCTCAAGATCATCATAGTCACTGTACAGGTATAAAACCACTGAGATCAGCCTCCCTCCCACACCAGCATCAACACTGATATCTATCACATTACTCCTCATTTAGCACTCATCCAAAGTGACATATGCCACTCGTTATTACTTGATTGCTTTCAAACAGTGAAAGAGGCTTTCAGAGTCATTTGCTGAGATTTTTAACACTATGCTACTGTTTTACTGTAGTTAAATTCCTATAGTTGCAGCATCATGTAACTGAAAACTTGCTAGTCCAAGATGACTGCAGGATCAGTCAGTGTAACATATAAAAACACTGCTGTCTGCACCTTTAAATGCACATAATATATTTTTTATATAGTTAGCTTCTGCATGCATTAATGGCTCTGTCTGTCTCTGTCTGTGTCAGCTGGTGCTGTTCGGTCTCAGTAATCAGATGGTGGTGGCGTTTAAGGAGGAGAACACAGACTCCTTCAGGCATCTGTTCCTCAGAGACTATGTGGATGATTCGGAGGAGCCGCTGTGTGTCCACACGCAGAGAGACGTCTATGATCACATTAAATATGCCATAGAGCAGGTACTGACCCGCAGATTTACATTTATTTATATATGTATACTAATATTCTTCAAGGAGGCATTAAATCGGTCAGACGTGAGACATTTAAAGTGAAGTGACATGTGGCCAAGTATGGTGACCCATGCTTGGAATTAGTGCTCTGCATTTATCCCATCCAAAGTGCACACACACAGCAGTGAACACACAC